CTTTCTTTCTTTCTTTCTTTCTTTCTTTCTTTCTTTCTTTCTTTCTTCTTCCTATTTTTATAGTTTGACTTTAAGAACATTTCTAAATCTCTGAACTTTTTTGTTTGTTTATTCTTGGAAATGGGGTATTACTCTGTTTCCAGATGGTCTTGGACTTCTGTGCCCAAACTGTCCTCCTGCCTCAACCTCCTCCTGAGTAGCCGGGAAAACAAGACCACAACCTTTGAACCCCAACTTCCATCCTCTCTCCCTCCTTTCCTCTCCACAGAGGAAGACTCTTGTCAGAGTCTTACTGTGTGGCCCAGCCAAGCCTCAAACTCACAATCCTTGGGCCTCATTCTCCTGATTGCTGGAATTCTTAATTTGTAAGTTAACTGCTGTTTGTGGCTGCTGATGGTCTTATGATATTATTATGTCTGAGGTTATATATTGTAAGATATTATGTCTGAGGTTATAGCTGGGAGATCGATGGCTCAGCGGTTAAGAGCATTTATTGTTCTTGCAGAGGTCCCAAGTTCAGCTCCTACATGGCAGCTAGCAGTGGTATTTCCAGTTCCGGAGGACTGGACGTCCTCTTTTGACCTCTGCAGGCACTACACACGGTGCACAGACATACATTCAGGCAGAACAACCATATCCATAAAATAAAAATAAATACGTCTTTAAGAAAGTCTGCCTGAGTTCTACAATACGTAGAGAAGTCCTGTGGTTATTTCCTTATCTTATCTGTTGCCATGTTCTATATGGTCGCTGCACAGGCTCCTGCTTCCTGGAATGGTGTCAGAGTTTGCTTTCTGGTGCACTGGCATGCCTACCCTTCTGTTTTGTGCCACCATTAAGGTCTGTGCTTACAAAGTCCAATGTTAGTGGCTTTAATTTTTTTTTTAAACCCAACCTCAAGGAGCTTTGGTAGTTTTTGCCAAGACTGTATCCACTGCACTCTTCCCCAGACACTGAAAGCTCATACCCTCACGCCACCATCTCCACAGTTTAGCTCTTCTCTCGCCACCCAAACCCAGCCAGGATAGGGTGGCTGAAGTTCACCAGTGTTGTTAGAGGCCAGGCACAGTCAGGCTCATTTAGTTACCTCCTAAGCTGCAAAGCCTCTCAGTGGAGGAGGGGACATAGCTCCTGTCCTTTGAGACTAGAGCCTAAGCCTGGGCCTGAGCCTGGGCCTGGGCCTGAGTCTGGGCCTGAGCCTGAGCCTGAGCCTGAGCCTGAGCCTGGGCCTGAGCCTGAGCCTGAGCCTGGGCCTGAGCCTGGGCCTGGGCCTGGGCCTGGGCCTGGGCCTGGGCCTGAGCCTGGGCCTGAGCCTAAGCCTGAGCCTGAGCCTGAGCCTGACAGATCACACGCTGCTGTGAGTGGGACACTGGATATTCCAGCCACAGGTAGCTTGACACCAGGGCCTTGGCCTCTGGGTTCTCTTTCAGCTTCATTTCACACACACACACACACACACACACACACACACACACACACACATACACACACAGACACACACCCCTTTAAAAACCCTTTCTTGGAATGATGTCTTGGTTCTTGATAGATCAACACCTAGATCTTTAAGGAAACTTCAGCTAAACACATCTGCATATCCTTACTCTAACACAGACTTCCTATGTCAGCATCTTTCTCTCTGTGTGGCCTTACAAAGTATATGTAGTTTTCAGTTTCCTTGGTAAATCTGACCAGCCCCTCAGACAAAAGTGCATTACAGCTTTGAATAGAAAAACTTGAAACTGCAGGAAACTGATACCACAAGGTTTTAAACACACACACACACACACACACACACACACACACACACACACACACCATACTAGCTCATTTATCCTAGAAATTTGTGAAGCACAATTTTTTTTATTTTTTATTCTTTATTTTATTTTATTAATTATACTTTATTCACTTTGTATCCCCCCATAAACCCTTCCCTCCTCCCCTCCCGGTCCTACCCTCCCCTCCCCCTTTTTCATGCATGCTCTTCCCCTAGTCCACTGATAGGGGAGGTCCTCCTCTCCTTCCTTCTGATCTTAGTCTATCAGATCACATCAGGAGTGGCTGCATTGTCATCATGAAGCACAATTTTTAAGGCAGTTGGCTTGAGTTGCCGTCTGTGAGGGTTTTCAATGCAAGAAGTATTTAATTTCAACGATGAGAAAAATACAGCTGAAACTTTCATATTTAACATACAAATCTGTTTTGGAGCTAAGGTATTAGCAAATTCTTCACAACTATTTTCTACCGTTATCTCAGAAAAAGTCAGAGTCTAATTTGCCTAGCTATCCTCAGAGATTTTTTTCATTCATTAACCCACATTTATTCCATTGTAATAATAATAATAATAATAATAATAATAATAATAATAATAATAATAAAAGCCTACACATCCCTTTGTATTGGGTAATGGTCTCTGGAACTGTCCTCATTCATTTTCTCACAACCTCTTAACACATCACACTGCCCTCCAGAAAACTATAACCATGGGGCTTAAAGACTCAGAGTTTAGGAAGGGGAATTTGAGGATTTTGGATCTATAACAGGCTCCACTTTCCCACATCTCAGTGTGCCTGCCTTTCTTAGCCCTCTTCTCTTGCTGTTAGTCTAAGAAACAGTGACGACAGATGGCTGACTCCTGGGCTGAAGAACATCTGAATGCTTGTGCTGTCCAGGAACAAGGCTAGAGAAACTTTTGACTGGTGTGAGATCACTGAGGGGTGGCAGGTGCCATATTCTCCTGTGTGCCTAACAGTCACCTGGCCTGGGAACCAAGGCCTCCATCTCAACACATATACGTATAAGCTTGCTTTTAAACTAAACGCTCTGCTTTTGGCGTCTAACAAAATGGCTGTCCTTAGGCCTCTACTACATGATAATATGCACATAAGAATTCTGTAGACTGAATACTCTCAGGTACTGATATTTCTCTCAATTTAAAGTACAAGGCCGTCCTAGCCACCCAGTAGAGCGTCTGGATCCATGGGTCTGGGGAAAGCCTGTGAGCCTGCTGTTCAACACACCACACCCAATTCTGGTTCTGGAGTGTGTGGGACATACCTTGAGAAGATGCTCCAGAGGGTTTGAGAGTCTATAGGGGTCTCTAAACTCAGAGAATGTCTTCCTTTTCGTAAAATAGAACAGCTGGAGGCAGGTTGTCAGGGAACATGCTCTGAGGAGAGTTTCTTCAGCAGCTTCCACTGTGACAGGAACAACATCCTTTAATTAGCTTTGCAGGGTGGGCCTGTTGAGGAGTGTGGAAGAAACCAAAGCGTGAGTTGAACAGTGTCCAGAGAGTGGGTCTCCTTGGAGAAGAAGGCTTTAAGGAAGGGACTGGAACTTGAGTGATGGGCTCGGGGTGGAGGGAGGAAGGCGGGTGGGAGTTAACCGAACCTTCTCGGAATTGATTTTGAGCTTGAGGACACTTGGTCACTGTAGCATTACTGTGAAGCATTAAGTGTAACTGTTGTTAACTTGAACTTTCACCTATATTGATAAAGCATCGGGCTCAAGTTTTTTACAGATTCTTCCTAATTTTGTAACAACTTTACTGAGATATAATTCACATATCATGTGTACAATTTGTCCATTCAAACAAAACCTAGAGTTCAGCGTTTTGTCATATATTCAGAGGACTGTGCAGTCGTCACAATAATCAACTGTAGAATACTTTTATCACCCTGAAAAGAAAAACAAACAAAAGCCCTCCATACTCATTAGCTATCACCTCACCGCCTACTCCCCTCAGCCTCTCCCATCCCCCACCCCCCACCCCACAATCTTTCCATTTCCCCAGCACTCAGCAACCACAAAGCAACTTACAGTCTGTCCCTATAGATCTGTTTGCTGTAGACAGTCCACCAAAATAGTATGGTATAGTGTGTGCCTTCTGTGACTGGCCTTTCACTTAGCATGTCTCCACCGTCCATCCACATTGTAGCATGCATGAGAACATCATCCCAACTGGGTAGGTACCCCACATTTTAGTTGTATGTTGGTTTACTACTGGGTTGCTCCCAACCATCTTCTGGCCATGGAGAATCTCGAAACTATTTGTGCACACAATTGATGTGGATTCAAGTGTCACTTTTTGAGGAACTCTGCCCAGTAAGGAGGGGTCAGATGCCTCCCCTGCCCCTCCCCCCGCCCATCCCTCAAGCTCCATTCCTGGCCTGTTTTACTGTTACCTTCTACACCAAGCTGGACTCAGTGGCTCTGAATCATTGTTGTGAGGGATCTGTTTCATACAGCTCACTCACTCAAGGATGACCGAATGCTTATGTAAGCAGGTGTTTGTGTGACGTGTGAAAACTCAAGCTCTGGTTACAGGAATCTTAGGTGCAAATACTGGAGGGCATTAACTGGTGTAACTTTAAAGGCTGGGGCAATTTTATCTAGTTTTTTTGCTTAGGGAAACAAACAACAAAAAAGAAATTCACAGCCATAAATGTTGATATCAACAACAGAGAGTGTTCGGGTGGGGGAGAGAAACAGGAAAACGATCTCTTTGGGGATTTGAGGGAGGTCCTATGGCCTTCTAATGAGTAGAGCTAGTAGATAACAGTCTCAGCCTCTGTGTGTTTCCACATAGAAGAAACACCTAGAAACTTAGGGCACTTGATGTCCTTTAGGTAGATCCTTCAGTATAAACCAGGGAGAAGCAGTGTAACCGCATAGATTTTCACAGTGACCCTTTACGGGTAATTAGCGCTGGCATTAAGAACTGGATTGTCACCAGCACCTCCCCCAACCCCAAGAGAAGTATCCCCAGGGGAAGGAGGGTATCCTGACTTCTAACACAAACATTCTTAGACACAAGGGAATGCATTTTTAATAGCGTGGTTCAGGTGTCAGGCTCTGGCTAACAGAATAGATTTGCTTAGCTGAGAGAATGTCTGAACACTCAGAAGACTGTATTGTAGGGTGTCATCCAGCCTTAAAAATTAAATACTTTTAAGCTCGGTTGAAGATAAAAGTTATACCACAGCACCGAAGAAACTCAACTCGTTTTGACCTGTAATTTAAGAGCATCTATTATTGTAGTTTTTTTTCTTTTTCTTTCTTTTTTTTTTTTTAAGAGACATAATATTTTCAGTGTGCATTAAAAAAACATTTACTTTCCTCTCAAACCTTGAAGTTTATTCCTGGGAAGAGTCTGAAAGGAGGTCGCAGGCACTATTAATCACGAGTGGCTTAATGATTTAAGATGTGTGTGTGCAGACATACGAACATTGGTAATGCATCGCACCGTTTGACATAATGTCCGACATCAGCACAGCCTTCACAAACACAGCACACAGGCAAACACAGCTCACAGGCAAACCTGCGTTTCTCTTGCTTCACTGTTCAGGAGGGCATCAGATCCCCTCACCTCTCCAATAAGACAAGCTTTCCAATGCTAGAACTGGCTGCAAACTGACACTGCTCTGCTTCTTACCTGGGAAAGAAGTTCGTTATCGCCATCTCCCCCATGATACATTAGACGGCATTCTCTTAGGGGAACTATTGGGCAAAAGTGAATAATTGCTTTTTCCTTAGCTCTCAATAATTGTATTATAGATGACCAAAGAAGATTATGATTTCATTAGACAATTTTCCGAGAAGTTGGAGATTCTGTGTTCTATCAGGTGATGCCAGTTAGCTCCGGGTCAAAACTAGAAGGATGGTACGTGTTACTCCTGCCAACTGCACAGCCCCCGCTTCCCCTCTTGGACTCTTACTTTGTGAATGCTGAGTATGACTCTCAAGTTAACGTGGCCTTTGCCACTCCTGGTGCCGGGAAAGCAATGTGTCCCCTCCCGGTAGGGCAGCGTCCTCTTCCCCGGCTTGGACTTTTTCCCCATCAGGTCGCCCACATCCCTCCTCCGGGCGTGGGGGAGGAAGAGAACCACAACGGACTCCCTTCCTATTTAAAGGTCGCCAGGGTCCCACTCTCAGGCTGGCCTTCGGAGGGGCCGGGTTCCACGACGTTTCCCTTGGCGCCGCGGTTGGGGACAGACTAGCTAGCTGCGGGTGGGCCGCCGTTCCTGGACGCTCCCCCCCCTGCCCCGAGTGACCCCAAGGCGGTGGCGCACTTGTCACCGTGGGTGACCGAGAGGGGACGGCGGGGGGCGGGCCCCGCGGGGCAGGTGGGCGCGGCCGGCGCGGGCCGCGGCAGCAAGTGGTTGGGCCGTGCGCAGTCCGTCCTGCGCGGCGCCGGCGCGGGTGCCCGGTACGCGGCGCCCTCCGCTCCGCCGCGGCCGCTCGCCCTCCCGCCCGCCTGCCCGCCGCGCGCCCATGTCTCTGCCCGTGGTGCTCCCGGGCTCCTGCTGCCCGGTGGCCGGGCTGTCGGGCGGACCTCAGGCCGGGGGTCCCGGCACCGCGGCCGCCGCCGCTCAGGAGCCGCCGCTGCCCCCGCTGCGGCCGCGCTGGCCCCGGGGCG